GTCCCTGATGCTTTGCTAAGCTTGTTCTAAGTAGGTGCTTTAGACCACTGAGCCATCTCTCCAGCCCGAGTTGGACCTTTTGAAAGAGAACCTGCCACAGTGTTTAGGACATAGTACAGAAATGGCTGCGTGGGTCGTTTGAGGGTTGGGCTTAAAGAAATTGCTTTTACAAATGAAGAAGTCTTGACGGTCTTCAGGACAGAGCAGGCTGGGGCTTTATTCAGCAGGGATGAAGAGAGAAGGGCCGAAGCTCAGGGAGCAGGTGGGCGGCTGGTGCTTGATTCTTGACTTTTAAGTATGAGAATCTCCTCTTCTCTTCCCTTTTCTTTATTTGTCAGTGTGACATAGGTCTCTATGGAGCTCAGGGCACTTTGAGCTTTCGTTGTAGTCTAGCCTGGTCTTCAACTTACAGCAGTCCTCCTGCCTTAGTCTCCCCAGGGCTGGAATGACAGGTGTGCACCGTCATGCCCAGCTAAACAGGAGACTTAATAATGGCCTCGTCCTGCCCACTGCTTTCTCAGGCATATGAAGCAGTTTTCTGATCATCTCTGAGAGCCTGGCAGAGTTGTTGGAGGAAGGAATCAGAATTTACGACAGAAAATCCTAGCCCAGGGAGTTTTACCTCCCCCGCTCCTCTTATCCTTGTTCAGTGCCCAGGTAATGTAGCCCTACCCTTGTGCTGTGTGTGAGCCTCCTCAGAGCCATGTACACTTCTATACGCCGCCTCTTTGTGCTGCAGCTTATGTGGGTGTGGAATTTAGGTCAGTATTCCTTCCTCTGTGTGCTTCCACGACAACAGAGAATGGACGTGCAGGAGCTCACCTTGTGATTCTCAGTGACATTTAACCCCAGCACTCAGCCTTTTGTGTCCCACTGAGGACGAGGTGACCCATGCCTGGGCGCTTACAGCTGTGGACTTGATGGCCCCTGTGACTCCTGCATCACTGTGCACCTGCTGCTTTCAGGACTGTCCCAGCCCAGGCTGCTTTCTGCACCTTTTCAGCACTCATGGCCCGAGGCGCAGAGCCCTGCTCTAATCCACCGGTGTCCTAGGTGTGTGAGGGATATCCCACAGGGTCTCTGTACCCTGGTTCCCAAGTGTGACCATGACAGCCGCTTCCCTCGGAGTCCATAGGCCCCTGCAGCACAGGCAGGAGGTACATCCTCCATGAGCCTGAACGGCTGCCTCGTCCTCCTCTGAGGGTCTCCCCTGCCTCCTCCTGGTGTCCCTCGAGCAGTCTGTGCCCTGCTTGTGGGGCATCTGCAGGGCTCTCGTCTGCACCTGTGCTGCTTTGTTAGCTGTACCTGCTCTGCAAATTACCACCCAGGTTCCCAGGTTAGAATGTGGGTGGGCAGCATAAATTAAGTCTCCTTCCACATGGCAATTTAGAGTTTACATACTTTGCAACTAAGTTTATTCTGAGAAAGTTTGCAATTGATAGGGCTGGTGAGATAGGTCAGCATCTAAAGTGCCTGCTTATGGGCTGGTGAGATGGCT